TAGAACTGTAGGTTATGTATCTAAGCTACTGTGCCGAGTAGCAACCCTGTACATAAGCTACTGTGCCGAGTAGCATTTATATATATAATCACGTGGCAATATGGCAGCCTCGGGGCAATGTTGCCACATAACACGTGCAGTGTTGCCACGTGATTATATATATAAATGCTACTCGGCACAGTAGCTTATGTACAGGGTTGCTACTCGGCACAGTAGCTTAGATACATAACCTACAAGAACTACTAATGCAGGAGCAAACAAAACCAAAATTTACAATAAGTTATATTGTAATACCCAACAGGTTTTTATATACTGTACAGTACTGTACTTACATGTGTAAATATGGGATAACCTACGTCTGCTGCTGATGGGTAATGCTGGCTGGTATTAAGCAACAGGGTAAAGAGATTAGGGAACATCATATAGTATGCATCGAGCAGAACATATCTTTTCCAGCAGTAAGTACCAAAAACCATGAATAGATAAAAAAAAATATATATATATAACTTAAAGTTAAAGATCCAAACCGTCCTGTGAATATAACCGTTATTACTTTGTCTAGTGCACATGAATTACAACAAAGGTACTGTCATGGTTATCTCTCTCTCTCCTTGCACACACACAATTCCTGTATGTTGCTCACCAGTTTACAGATACGGTACAGTACAGTATCATGGTGGGCAGACATTTTGTTACCGGTCTATTGAATACCATCTTACATTTACTTATGTATATAAAATGTCTTTATTTTGGAGGTGATGAAGCCATGGTTAGGTTAGGTTAAGTTTAAACTCAGCTGGTGACGAAAGGTCCTACAACCCAGTGTCAAACACCACCAAATCATTGGCCTGTATCATCTCAACCCGCATTTCATTTTAGCATAAACTCGGAAAGAATTGGTGAAAAATACAGTAAAGGAAAAAAGTGGCTAACTAACATAGACCAAAAGGCACTCTTTACACAGGTGAGAGGCAAATGACACTCTTACACAGGTGAGAGGCAAATGAAAACATGTCTAGTGGCCAATCATATTTCTGCACATAAATCTGCACAGTGAATGAGAGAAAACTATCTTCCCAGTTCTGGATGAATGTAATGTACAGTACTGTATCGCAAAACAGCTGAACCTTCCAACACGCTGCCTGGGAACCTTCTGAACAGTTGGCAGGCCTGGAGAGGAACTGATCCTGAGTTTCCAGGTGCATAATTTAATCGTACTGAGAAATGTAGTACCGTAACCTACTGTGAAATATATAATTTACCACATTAACCACGTTGGGATATTTCAAACCGTGATATGTTCCATGTTCTCAGATGAATCATGCTACCCAGTCAGGCAAACCAACTGTTCATATTAATGGAGTTAAAACTTTGATTATGCTTTGCCAGTTTTACAAAATCTTCAGACAAAACTGGGAATACTCTGTACTATAAAATGGGTACACCAACATAACCCCAGGTCTGTGATCATCAGCAACATATACATACAAGTTTTGCTCTTGCCAACATACTAACATACCCTGAACTGAAAAAAAAATCTTCCCAGAATGGCCACTGGTTACTGTATTTGTTACAGCACTCAGAAGGAATGTAATAAAAAAATACAATGAGTAATTTAAACACTTATAATTTTTGTCAAACATTAATGAAAGAAAGTCAACAGAACTTTGAGTTTCCTCTTTTCCTTAAACTGCTTCAGGACAATGACTTACATCCTAAATACAATGATGTCACTCTTAATGGATCTGTTCATCTTATGCAAAGAGTTAAGACTTCATACTCATGGGACTGTCATTGTACTCAAAGGGTCGTATCATTATGCTCAAGGGGTTTAATTGATTGTACTCATATGGTTCATTTATTATACTTAAGGGGTTAAACTAATTGTACTCAAGGAGTTGAATTACATGTACTCAAGGGGTTTAATTAATTGTACTCAAGTGGATGTCACTGTACCCAAGGGGGTGGTCATCATACTCCTTGTACTAAATTAGTCGCTTCAGACGTTTCTATTACCTGTACTCAAGCTAGTTTATTTTTCAATCGTTCCCAATTTACACTTTACATTATTATATTAGTTATACAGTACTTTGTAGAAATGTGAATGTAGGTAAAATCAATTGAAATACAGTATTCAACTCTCTGCAAGTGACTAACTGCCTCAAAATCCAGGCTAAAAGCAACACCTGGCAGACACTGAATAACAAATACCATACACAAAAGTCAACCAATGTAAGGCAAGGAACATGTCAGGCACAGAAGGCAAACACTGCTCTTCTTCAGTACTAATGTTAACTGTGTACTATTAACCACAATATATATAATAAAAAACATCCTGATAACCAACATTCAATTGTTTTGTCTTTAGTGCATTTAGTTACACAGTAAACATTATCCCCCTTATCGGTTGCCACTTACATTATACAGTCAACCCTCGCTTTACGCGGTCCCACATTACGCGTTTCCACGTTTACGCGGTACCCTGCCGAAACCGGAATGCTCACATTCCGCGGTGCGTGTACCCCTTTACGCGGAGAGCGGCTTTGCGAGCCGTTTTTGGATCCAAACCTCCCGCAATGTTGTGTAAGCGGCGCGAGTAGGTTGCGCAGTGTGTCTTTGTTGCGTTATCAGTGACGTCATATGACGTATCGGACTGTAATTGGGCCAAGCATCCTTACCTCCCTCCGCTGCTAGCTGTGATTGGTTTAAAGTAATATGACGTGTCCACCCGCGGGAGGGAGGGAGGGAGGAAAGACGACGCTTGACCTAGCCGCGGCAGTTTCATCCCTCCAGGCCACACCGTGTATACGTGATTCCATTGTTCTGTAAAATGGCTTCTGCCGGACCACCGCCCCCAGAGAGAAACCTTTCCTTATCTGGACCCAGCCGCCCTAAGCCAAAGAAGACGCGACGTTCCTTAAGCTACGAAATTAAGTATAAGATCATACAAGAGTTGGAGAAAGGAACAAGACAGGTTGATCTTGCGCGCCAGCATGGTGTTAACGAGTCTACGATCAGGACAATTAAGAAGGATGCAGCCAAGATAAAGGAGCACATGAACATCACAAAGTCTACAGGTGCTTCTATGATCAAGTATTTCCACAACCAGGTGCTTCTATGATCAAGTATTTCCACAACCAGGTGCTTCTCAAGACGGAAAAATTACTTGTGAGCTACTTGGTGCGTCAGACGCGACGGAACATGGCGGTGGACACGCGCTCAGTTAAGGAGTACGCACGTGAACTGTATGCTGCAGTGTCACAAAAGATGGGAATTACAGAGCCCAAACCCTTTAATGCTTCCTCTGGGTGGTTACAGAGGTTTAAGAAGAGGAACAAGATCACCAATATCAACATTGGTGGTGAAGAAGCTAGTGCTGACCGTGTTGCGGCTAGGGAATTTCCTCCGTTTTTACGCGAGATTATGGAGGAAGGACAGTACACCGACGACCAGGTGTTTAACATGGACGAATCTGGTCTTTTTTGGAAAAAGCTACCTTCCAAGACCTTCATTGTGAAGAATGCCAGCAAGATTCGGGGCCGGAAGTTGCAGAAGGAGCGCATCACCGTCCTGTTTACCACCAATGCCTTCGGTACCTGTAAGCTCAAGTTATCAGTGATCCACACAGCACGCAAGCCGCACGCCTACAAGAGCATGGACATGACCAAGCTAAATGTCCACTGGCTGACCGCACTTAAGGCGTGGATGTTCTCTACACTGTCCCTCTCCTGGTTTGATGACTGTTTCGTTCCCGATGTGAAGAAATTCTGTGAGCAACAGAATGTGCCATTCAAGATTTTGTTGCTGCTGGACAACGCACCAGGACACTCGCCCCTACAGTTAGATCGTCACCCCAACGTAAAAGTGGTCTTCCTTCCTCCCAACACTACGTCTATATTACAGCCCATGGACCAAGAACTAATCTGTAATGTAAAAGCTGCATTCTCTACTAAAAAATTCAAGCTCCTGAACGACTACACCAACACCAGGGAAGAGTTGCGTAACCTGAGTGACAACAACACCGATAGCAAGAGCGAAGACGACGAGGATCAACAGTTGGCAGAGCAAGAAGTACTTTTAAAACAATTCTGGAGAATATTCAACGTCAAGAAAGCTGTGGACTTCTTGGTGGAGGCATGGGATCATCTGTCTGTAGCAACTGTTCGTCAAGCATGGAGACATGTGTTGCAAGGCATTCCGGGCGTTAGGCAGAGTCAATCTGTGACTGGTGAGGTTCAGAGTGTTGCAGTAGCAGTGGACCTTGCCAGAGAAGCTGCGCAGTGTTACAGCTGCAGGCTTCTCCGAGACCACCAACGACGACATCCTGGAGGTGATAAGGGATCCTGATGTGACTACCGATGACATGGTAGATGATGATGACGTCAGTGAAGAGACAGGTGGTGCGTCATCCCAAGAAGAACGCCGCTTATCCCATAGTAATGTTAGGGGTGCCATCGAGTGTATCGAGAAAGCCAAGCTCCTCCTTTCCGACGACCCTGATGCAAACAGGTATGAAATCTTCACTACCCAGCTGTTGCAGACTATGGAGCCCTACATCAAGGTTTATCACGACAACATAAACACCAGCCGTCAGCAAAGCATAACAGAGTTCTTCACCCGCAACCCACCACAGCCAGCCCAAGCCAGTGATAGTGGCAGAGGTAGAGAGTGATGATGACTTTGAGGGATTTGTCAGGGAGGCACTAGTAAGTGTGGATGACAGTGATGGTGACTCACCTGAGGGCCAGTAGCCTGCCCTCTGCTTCGGAACCAGCCTCCATTCCCGTACGCCGACCCAACTCTTCTACTAACGTAAGTGTTAACCCCAACCTTGTTTTTTTCAAACCTAACCTTCAGTTTATTGACTGTTCCCTTCTATATTATGTGTGGGTGAATACCATCATAAAGTTAAGATGTTATTTTTAGTAAAACGTACGTATTGTGTCGGGAAAAAGTGGAGTTTGGGGGTCGGCCCGGTCTCTATTTCAATTAATCCCATATGTAACGTTCACTTTACGCGGGCCGCCGTGGGTTGAATTAACCGCGTAAAGTGAGGGTTCACTGTATATATATACAGGTTTAAAAAAAAGCTTCAAAGAGCAAGTGTGTGTTTGTGGTAATCTGCCTGTTAGCCAGAATTGCCAGTCCTGAGAAGTCTCCAATAGTCATAATTGATTTTGAACTGGAAAGATTCAAGGAAAATTCTCCATTCCAGCATGGGAACGAGTTTCCAAGGATGAAAATCAAGCGCATTTCTGGCAAAATACAGTGTTAGATGTAAAATGTGTTTAGTTATGTATACTGTACAGGACTGTACATTAAACAATGCCTACTGTAGACTAGTGTGTACAGGTGTATGTATAGTATACAGTGTGTGTACAATCCCTCCTTCATGGAGGAGGAGTGACACTTGCTACAGTAGATAGAACAGGACAAAGGCAGGCCATCCTGTATCATCACCATTTGGCCTGCCTGCATCACAAGCTCCAAAAGACAGCATCTGCTGGTGGGTACAGTACAGTAGTATATTTTGTTTATTTACTATATTTTGTCCATGCACAGTGGTGTTTGTGTAAATAAATATAGCTCTTTGTCTGTTCATGCAAGATGCATAGTTTGAACTCTCGGAAAACTCTCCCCAGCACCCGGAAACATTCCAAGGATGTGCAATAAGTGTCTATCCGTGCGAGATGCGCAGTTTCCTTTCTCGGAAAAGTTACCTCGTAACACGGAAAAATTCTGGGGATGTGGGATTTTTTTTCCCAGGGATGAGAAATTTGTCTCAACATCTGGAAATATCGCATTCCGAGAAGTGATCTGCACCAATCACTTCAACTAACAGGATATCACTGTAATTGTGTTTGGCTGTAGGCATCTGTGTGTTTGTGTGCATATTAGTGTGCCTTGGTAGTTTCCAAAATTTTTACCTGCTCCGTACCGTCCCACTTCATATCAACGAAACTTATACTTAACTGTTTCTGCTCTGTCTCCCTGCTTTTAATTATAACACTTAACAAAGTAGCAAATTGATAAATAATTGAACAAGAAAGTATAAATTTCTTCTGTAATGTATTTCTACAGATAAACCTTCTACAAAGTACCCAGTGTAATATAATCCAAACAGCATATTGACTGTACCTGTCAGTAAAGTCCCTACTGACAAACTTAATTAACTTCAGAAACAGTACACACATTAAACCTTAAAATGATGTTAAAATATGGTAATAAATAGCAATTATTATTCTTTGATTTAAAAACCCAATCAATAAATGAATAAGGAAAACTCAAGTACTGTACCAACTAAATGACTTCCACCTTTGTATTTACAGGTAGTAGTGTTGCTGTAACCTGAACACAACCGTCCAGATGATTTTATTGAGCTCAGAGGGGACCCTGTACAGAAGGGGGTTAATATTTCCTAAGTAAGTTACTCTACTGTAGGCTGGGTGAGAATTGGCTGACAACAAACAATTCTTCTCAATGTTCACCTGACAGCTCTTAGGCCAACTTGTAATGGCAAAATAGATGCCAGTTGCTGTAGTTCTAACTATAATCAGTTGTCATATAACAAATCTTATCCTTAAAGATATTTAAGGAAAAAGTCAAGTGAATAGCACAGGATACAAATTAATATCACAAATAATTGAAAATATGAGTAATAACAAGTGCAAACTATTTTTGGTTCAATATAATACAGTAATTATCATATCTAGTCTATAAAATTTTTGCATTATGTCTCACCTTACTATAGGTACTGTATAGCACACTGACATCACCTGTGTACAACACATTTTCTACATAAAACAAGTCATCAGACACACTATTCATCAGCCCAACTCCCCAGAGCCTCTAGAATGAACTTCCACCAAAGAGACAATCTGTACTGACACACTCACTCAGTCATATGGTTGCTAAAGAGGACAAGTTTTCTTCACAACTCACCATTTTTTTTCCAAGCTAAATTACAGAGACCACTCAGATATCTTCTTCAAAAACTCCCATAAAAATGCTCAAAGCTAAAGTACAAAAGGAGATGACCCAAATTTCACCTTTGTGCTAACTCTTACCCTAAATTTATCAGAATACTGTCTTCATATATGAGGTTTGGCGACCACAGTCCTCTACACTAAAATATGTTCTCAGGCTGTTTTTACCAATCCTCCAAGGTTTTGTATCTCTGGGGGACATAGTTTTTAATTTCATTCATCCATCACAGTCTCTACCTTCCCCTGGCCCTCCTACCCTCAACTTAACCCATTAATATTTTGTTATTAACCGCTGCTCCCTAATTATGTCCTTTTCTGTACATCTATGGTATTTCTCTTGAAGCTTTTGCTTATCTTACCACAAGAAAAAAATAAATTAAAAATCATACCCAAACAAGATAAAATAAAGATCACCCCAAAAGCTACAGTACAAACAGGTCAAAAGGTTAATGAAGAGAATGACTGCTAAAACTCTTTCAGCATTGTTCAAAAGGAATTTTCTAAAATGGCAGTGAAATCACGGTGCTGTTGAATTTTCAGTTTCTCAGAGACTGTGTTTAGACCAGTTTTCACAAAATTGTACATTTATTTTTACACTTAGCACTGTAGGTTTCCTTTTAGTGACGTTAAACTCAGTTCTATCACTTTGGTGTTTGTTTGAGGGCATTGTGAAAGCAAGATACAATCGATATTATACAAAGAGTAAAGAGCACACCCGGCCCGATGCTTGAACCAGTGCCATCATAGCTCGAGGCATTTGTGACCGCAGTGTTCGCACCATGAACGGTAAACAAAGCAGGATAATGCAATAACTCATCAGGGGTCAAGAGCGGGATTTTTTTCCATTGAGAACAACATATTTCTAATTAGATAATGGCATTCAGTGTATTACAGTAATAGGTTTATGTTGTTAGCTTAGTGCTTCATACCGTCCATTTTATTTCAAATCTCATCTGGTTTCTCTCCAAGTACAGATATAAAATTATTGCTGTACTGTACTGCATGTACTTGTTGTGTTTATTAGTGTCTTATTATCATTGTGTACACTAACGTTTTAATAATTGGAGTTATGGGAAAATGTAGTTACCCACAAAGTCCTGTCGCCTCTCCTCCTGAACCCCGAGATTTAGGCTCGTAAACCTGAAACATTTATGGATAGAATAATGCATCAGTGTCTACTGTTTCTGGTCCATGAGTCTGAATCTTGGGGTTCATGGTTCAGGAGTAGAGGCGATAGAACTTTGGTGGGTAACTGTACACCTTTACAATACTGATGTTATATGGGTCAGCCTCATAAAGTAAAAACATTCAGATACAATGATGGATAATTATTGACCTTAATAATCGGAGGGGAAAATGTGTGGACGGTGACATCAACAAGTAAATGATGAAAGTTATGCAAAAAAAATAATCATCCTCAAGATCAACGCTCATACACTCGAATGAGAGTACAGTACTGCAGTGAGAGCCTCTCTACCCATCCTGCATGAGATAAACAGTACAGTACCTTAACTTAGAATCTTATTCTTCAAAAAGAAAGGAGAGAGGGTTTTTTGTATATACTTTTTCTGGTCTTGGGAACGAGATTTGGTTCGTTTCCTTTTGTTAGACTCAGAAATCTGATATTTATCAGAATTAAAAGGTAGTGTAAATGGTTTTTTTAACTTTTCATAACTTGTAATATTATGACTTTCATCAGCCGCAGTAGTTAAATTCTGGGTTGTGCATTTCTCTGATTCGGACTTTTTTTCAGCAACAGATCCCATTAATTCATTGATAATGGGATTTGATACCAGTGGTTTGGGGGTCAGTACACTTTCATACCTATCTGGCAATATAAGAGAAGCAAATGCTTGTTTACCGGGATCATCATAATCCTCAGGTTCCCCGTCGTGGGCAGCACACACTAGTGACAGCTTACGGCAGGCTCCAACTGTGTTTGCTTCCTGTAAAGACACATCCATCACTTGAGTAACTTTCAAGATTTATTAAAAAGAGAAGTGTGAGGGAACTTCAGAATGGATGAGAGGTGCCAAGGATATAAACAATGGAGTGAAGTGGTGCATTTGTCTCTTAAACATTTCAACACTGGTTCAAGTCCTACTTAGGATGGATGTGAGAGCCATGTGCCAAGTACTTTAAGGGGATACGTGGGTTAGAATGAAGGGGTGAACATGAATGATGCATAGAATAATCATGAAAAGAGAGACAGAATACAAAGAATTATGCCATCATTAAAATACTACAGTAGAACCCCGGTTATCTGGCACCTATAGGGATTGAGAGGTGCATCCTACAATGCAGTGCTACAGGCTGACCTCACAAATTTGTGCCTCAGAAAAACAGACTTCTTTTAAACTTATATTCCACTATGAAATAAGAAATTTGAAAAGCATGAGTGTGTATTTTGGGGATGTGAAGTTTGTGGAGGAGGAGAGCTATAAATGAATGGCCACGTTCCCTCCCGATGGTGTATCATGGCATATACACAGCACAAAATGGTAGCCACACATCTGTGAGTCAGTTGGTTCACTGCTTGGCTGAACTGTGTCATGTTGCCCAGAGGATGGTTTGAGTGTGGAAGGAGCTATTTTATGTACATAAAATATTTGCTATTGCATTTTATGATATGCTATACAGTATATCAATTTTATAATTTATTATAGCAATAAATATGGCAGCTCATCCCCATTGCGGGCGGTATTCAAATTTATGATTCTAGATGATTTTGGAGGAATTTTTAATTATTATTATTACATTTTGGTGCCGGTTCGTTAAATCTGCCTGTTTCCCGGATAACCGTGGTTATACTGTATTATAGCATATCCTAGAGGTTTGGAAGATTTACAGTACAGAATATACAAACAGATAGTGAAAACATTCATTATTAACTAAAGAGCATCAATTATTGGTGAATATTGCTATTTTCTTTTTTTCCCTTGGCCTGGTAAAAACATGAGGAGACTAAGCATAAGCCATGTCCTAGTTAACAAAAATCTGTAGAGTTTCAATCAGTAATAGAGGGTTGACAATCTATCACTCCCCTAAGTCAATATCTAATACTGGCATCAAAAACAACCCTGGCAATGTGAACGCGGTAAAAGTGCTCTATTGGCCTTCCACTACATGCATCAATAAGGACAATTACCTGATCTTTAATATCATTATTATTCTTCTGACTGGAATAGGTATTTTCTTTATCCACAATGCCTTGGTCTGTCATCTTTTCATCCTTCGTTGAAAGTCTCTCTGACAATGAGGAGGCAGCAGGCCCAACTTCTCCCTCAGGAGAAAACTTGAACCCGGTCTCTCTTCGGTGTGTATCAGTAGACTCAGATATTCCAGGTTTCTCTACAGTCTGAGGAGCTACTGAAGGTTGGATGGGAGATACAGCACAAAAAGCAGCAGAATTAAGATCTGCTATAGATATGTCCTCTTTAAACTTCTCACTTGCCCCATTTTCATGATCCAGTGATGAATAAAGTTTCATTTTGACAGCATGTAAATAACCATAGTCTATCTCAGTGGAATTTTCATGGTCCTTAATTTCAAGTTTCTCTACAGACCTTGGTGACCTCCTTGCAGCAATCACCGTCTGTTTTAGAGCATTTTTCAGGAAGGGTATTTTTATATTAGGGGTTTTTGGAGAATTAAGTCTTCTTGATCGCCTGCCTGGTGTGCTCCCTTTAGCTTTCTTCTGCTTTTTTCCAGACGAATGAACTTCAACAGCAGCTTCCCGGAGGGCAAAAATTACTTTAATTAGTTTTAAAACAAACAACATCTTTTCAAAGGGCAAACTGTACCTATAAAACCTAATGATGTCCGACTTGTCTAAAGGGAATGTTTTGTACTGAGAAAACTCTTTTGCCATTTTCACTATTTCAATTTCAGTTAAGCGTAACTCCGACATTCTCTCTTGTGCTCGAACAGCAGAGTTTTTTACCTTCGTTAATAGCTTAGGTAGTTCCTCCCCATGTTCTTCAAGTTCTCTAATAATAGTATGAGGAGGAACCTGGCATTCCCCCGACTCGACATCAATTTCATCATCTGAATCACCATTGCCGGTTAATTTGAGTACACAGCCTTCATCAATGGAAAAAAACTTTGATGGAGTTTCTTCAATACTGTCCTTAACCTCCAGCTTTCTTTTACAGGGTGTCTGATGTATGTCTCGTACATCAGTGCTGCCATCACCACACTTTACAGAATGAGATTCACTACTGGAGGACATCATACATAAAGCTGTCTCATATGAGGTGGACTCATCTTCCCCTGAACTATGTCTGATTTTATCTTTTCTTTCCTTGAGACGTTTCTCGCGAGTTTCCTGTTGGGTACGTTTTACACTTTCTGCAACCATACTTGCACATACTGGACAGGTCCACTCTACGCAGCTGAAGGACAATCCTCCACAAGCCACATGAACACCTGTTGACCCACACAAGTTGCACAGCAGAATTTCCCATCTCCTGAAACAATAAATGTAATATCATGAGTATCATTAAACTGAATATTGTAAAAGGCAACTGCATAAAGGTGACCCAGAGAGAATCCACTTCCCACGTTATCTCTCTCCTCATATTCAGGTACAGGAATTATACAGTATAGAGAAAAAGTCCAATTTTAACTTCCTATTGAAAAACATCATTTACATTTAGCAGGTACAGTAGAACGTCAATATAATGCAAAATACGTTCCAAGAGAGGTCGCTTTAAACCGAATTCGCACTAAATCGAAGTGTAGTTTCAATGGAATAATTTAGTTTGGTACTTGAGAGAAACAAAATACTAAAAAGACTGAGTCTACCCAGATGCACCTCAGTCCATCTCCTAGAATAAACAAAACATTGTTTTTTGTAGTATTATGTTAAAAGAAACACTCATAAATCAACACAGATAAAATTAAGGGATGCAAAATGGTCTGTTTACTGGCTGGGAAGAGGGGGGGGGGAGGTGATATGTTTGACAGTTGCTGCCAAGGTCTGATGCTTATTTATTTATCTGTCCTTAAGAGTGACTAAGTTTTTCTCTTATAAAATGTCACTGAATTGACCTGGGAGAATATAATTAACATTGCTGGAATTCTTATAAGATAGTGATTAATTTGAATATAGTGTATACATGCTATAGTCTGCATTAGACATACAAATTTTAGTTTGAACTAATTTTATTACAAAGGGGCTAAAATTTTTATCTCTTGTGCAAGATATATGACGTTTATATTCAAATTATTCGCTGTCTTGCAAGGATTCTAGTAATGTAAATTATATTCTCCTAACTTTAGTCTGTGATATTATATAAGATAAAAACTAAAAGCCTATAACCACCCAACCCCGGCTGGGAAGAGGGGGGGGTGTGACAGTGACACATTTGACAGTTGGGGCCGAAAGTCTTGTGAAGTATTTATTTTTTTTATTTATGTCCTTTAGATTGAGGGGTTTTTTTTGTTTTTTTTTGTTACAGAAGTGACCGGGGAAAATGTATTTACATTGCTGGAATTCTTATAAGATAGTGATTAATTTGAATATAATCATGATATAGTTTGCACTCAACAAAAATTTTAGTTATCATTTAGTACATAATTTTGAGTACATGTACAGTACAGCTTTGCCCTTAGGACAGTGTAGCGTGCCCAGAGAAACATTAGGCGCCAATTTTAAAATATGATGCACCAGATTGACTCGCACAAAATAAGAAAGATTCGTTTTAAATTAAAACATTGTCCTTAATTGTGGGTGTCGCTTTAAATCAATAATCTTAAATTGAATCACTTTAAATCGACGTTCTACTGTATTCCCACAGTAAATCTTTTTAACAACTGAAAATATTTTATAGATTTAAATATAAATAGATTTAAATAAATTTGAGGTTAAAATTGTCAAAGCCGTAAACCCTAAGGAAGAGGACTTCTTCAATAAGTTCTGGAGGTTAAAATAATAATGATTAAATGTATTAACCACGTATTTTTTAACTAAAACATAGTTATAGAATTTGGCAACTATAATTATACCTGTATATTCATATTTTTTTAATAATACAAGGTAAAAATTTTCTAGTCACAGTTTTCACCCCCCAAAGCAGAGTAGGTCAACTTACGAGCCATCATTGTCAATCTTGCGCCCATCAGGACACCTGCACTTTGGAGCATCACAGTGGATAGGACGTTCAAGGAGCTCACTATATGCATTTGGTTCCAGTTCCCAGCTGGCATCCCTGTAGAATACACTGGTAAGCAAATTTTCCATAACATGAAATACACAACAGCAAATCTAAACACCAACAATTTATCACAATAATACTGTACTGGTTGAGATGTAAAGTCAGTCAACAAACCTCACCATACCTGATGACAAACATTCTTTAACCCACTAACTACTGCAGCCTTAATTCTTAATCGTCTGCTCGCTGTGAGGCACATAAAAAAAGCTTCTTTTCTTCTTATTATATGTGAGAGTATGCTTCCCTGATTCATAAATATGGGATGTTTAATAATATAAAATTTGGATTTCTTTTACTTACTTTTCAGGAATATATATGCCAACATTTTGCATTGCAACTGCAAATTGTTCCTTGTCATTGCATAGTGGACACTTGAAGAAGTACCCAGCACTTAAAGCTAATCTCTGCCAAAAAAGAGGAAACACATGTTAAATTTTTATGACTTTGAAATCAACAGCACAGCACTTACAATACAGTAGACTCAAAAAGTATACACACTCGCTGCCTGTTTGTCCATCTCAGAGTTATGAAAGTGACTCAAATGAAGAGCAATGGACTTTAATCATTGTGTATGATGCCACAATACGATTACAAAAGAATTAACAAATCACGGCTTTCTGTCTAAGATTGTCGGCTTTTGGACTTTGCCAAGGTATGACAAGGACCACCCTAGTTTCAGTTTATCACTCATAGATATCACTTCGAGATGAAACACTTCTCTGTCTAAAAGGATATTGTATCCAACATGTCTAAAAGTGACAGTGTTTTAGTTTTAAGCAGTACAGTATAAAAAATTAAATTCTTTTCACATTCCCAACTTTATTCAAATTAATGTCAAACTCTTACACAATATTCTATAATCTGTTCACTGCAACCAAGGTCTAGCATCAGTTTGTAGCAAGGCAGATGACTGACACACACGGGAAGATCCACTACGGTTCTTCAGTATTTAATCTATCGTATTTATATTAAACAATACTGTACATATATATATTTTAAGGGATACCAATTTTTTATGTTAAATCTCTGATAACTTCTGCACTTGGGGAAACAAAAATTAGCTTGCGAAATGCACTGGTAATATAAATATTCTGAAAAGAACAACAAAAAGATTACATTAAAAATTTTCAGAGACATCCTCCACCACACTGAATGACTTCACGATGCAAGGAGTTTATTCCTGAACTTGTTATCACGTTCACATTTTCTTCAAGATATTTTTATTACCAGTGCATTTCACAAGCAAATTTTTGTTTCCCCAAGTGCAGTAATTATCAGAGATTTAACACAAATAATTGATATCCCTTAAAATATACAGTATACAATAATATAAATACGCTCGATTACATAGTAAAAAAACTCTAGTGACTCTTCCTGTGTCTGTCCAACCAGCTACCTTGATACAAACTGACCCTAGGCCTCGGTTACAAATTTCCAGTGACCAAGACTATAGATAGACAACACCCAAAATAATGCTATAAAACTGACTGATCGGCTGCAGCCTAGTTTCTGACACATGTGTTGCTGCTTACTATATGATCCACTCTCAATTTACTACTGTACAGTACATGTATAATAAAAGTAAAAATCTCAAACTACATCCCCACTACTACTTTACCTGAAGGCACAGCTTATGGAACCAAAAATTTCTCTTACAGCATGGAGCCCAAACTGCTGTCTTTGGATCTGCTATTAACTCCTCCAAGCATATAGGACACTGCACTTCCTCTCCAGCCCCTTTCCCTTTCTGGAAGGTACGATGCTGAGAACAATATGATCTAGAAAAAAAAAAAGTAAAAAACAACAATGATTAATAAATAGAAATACTGTACTGTAAGTAATGTAAAACTGTGTTTATGAAATTACCAAGTCTGGTACAGGAAGCCCTGAGATGCCTTTGTTAGAACCTCACCATTTTCTGATGCCATGGAAAAAAATGTACAGTACTGTACATTCAGATTTATATCAGCATTGCAAATAAAAAATGGGATAATTTTGTTGTAACACTGGATTTTTTTAAATCACATCTTCATAAACCAGAAACTGTCTGCCAGCACAGTCCAGTATTTTCAAAAAGCATTGTCAATATTTTTCTAATAAAAAAATTACTAGCTTTATTTCCATTTTCAGAAGCTGTATTATCACTCACTACCTAGATGTGAAGAGAAAAAATAATTCTGGGTCACTTACCTGAAATCATTGGTAAATTTGAAAAGAGCATGATGCTCTATCCCACAGGGGTAATGATAGGTTTTCCGACATTTCCTCTCCGAGCAGCCAATCGTTGCACCCCTCTTGAAACAGTAGCAGCAGGACTGAAAAAATATTCCTCTTAATTATTTCCTTTACAGAAATAGATTAAATTACAAACAAGCTGATTCTACAAGATCATGTCAAGTCCCCCACAGTGGATTACTGTAATCAGGAAAAATAACCACTTTACACTTTTTAATGAAAGCTTAACTAGACTACCTACCGGGTACCTTCCTACCTCTATTATGTATACAGTACGTGACATGTTACGCTATGGTATGGTACTCTCCTTCCACATTAAGACTTTAAATCTAGTTAGCCCATCATTCACACAAGCCAGCACAGTATCAGACCTCAGCAGCACGTCCCTTCCTTTCTCTTCAAATCACTCAGTGCCATGTTCTCCACCCATACACATTGCTGCTTCCTTATGTCAATCCCTCCCATCTTTCCATATCCATAGCTCCCTCTTCTATCCACCTATTGATCGATCTATCTACCTCTACATGTCTATCTGTGCCTCAAAAATAAATAAATAAAAAGATATCTACAGTACTTATCTGTCCATACCATTCCCTCCTGCCACCCAACTCAGAATTTAAGGGCTGAATTCAGAATGGTGGTTTGAGCCTGAGATTTGAGCTCAGCTCAAGCATGTGAAACAGGATTCCTCTATTCAAGATTTCCTGCAGTGGATTACCCATATTCAGAACACCGGCTTGAACCCCGGATAGGGTAATCTGTTGTATTTTCATCAATTTCGAGCAAGGATTCGAGCACTGAAATTCCAGCCAATCACATTTCATTTACATCATTACGGCAGCCAACCACCATCGAGAGTAAAGTTTAAAAGATTATGGCAGCAACATGACTTGACGAGTTTTTAAGAAGGAGGAGAAATCTCTCCCTGCACATCAAAAGTTACTTTTGTTACTATAATTACAATCAAATTATAATGATTTATGGTACCGTTACAACGTTTTGTGTTGTTATATGATATCAGAGAAATTCATAGAGGAAGAACAATTACATACATCTTGTAGATATACTGTATAATCCGGGACAGGTGTCAATATTCATAACCAAAGCAAGATGAATCAATGCAGGGCATAGTAACCTGGCTAGGTTTGGTTAGGTTAGGTTTCTTTGTTCTTTTAACCCCACATTTCCCCTGATTAATAATGCTAAGAAAATACTTTCCTTTATTAATAGATTAAGATCAAAATGCAGTCAGCATTGATTCAATTATATTGAAAATACATCAAAATAGTTTTCCTTAAGAAAAATACTCAAAATAAAGAAGCGTCAATGCTCTTCAAATTTACCTGCTTGATCTTCATGGACCCTAAACACATAAGTGTTGTAACGCATTACCATAATTCATTCAGTAATCAGAATCTTTCTTATCTGGAAACTATTTGTTGCAAAGAATCTAAAAGCAATCATCAGCTGATAATGGGAGGTAGAGGTGAACCATATCCAACAGGTCTGTCAGGTAGCTGCTCCATATCACAGAAAATATCAAGGAAACCTCCCTACCATCAGTCTTCTCTCTACAAAATTTCCAATTTGACAATGTCGTCGAAAAACGCGCGCTGTCAAAATTCATGTTGACTTCCTATCCTGAAAGACAGATCGACTGTTAAACCTGCCTCCAGGCTGGATTAATGCGAGGATCAACAAATCCGATCTCAAACCATGTTTGAATCTTAGTGTTGGAACAAGCCAGCGTTCTGAATACCAACGATCTTCAACCTTTGCTCAATCCTTGGTTTAGACCTTCATGCAGTTTCAAACTACCGTTTAGAATTCGGGCCTAACACTTCTTACCAATCCTTCACGTCTAATTTTTTTTTTGTCCGTAACACTTGAGCAGACCCTCAGCTCCCTCTCTGCCCAACACTTCCTTCTTTTCCACAACTCACTTCTGTATCAATTATCCCCTACACTTTACTCAACAAACATACTGCTCTCAACCATGTAACTTCTGCCACCTTTCCCTCTCTGTCCAAAGCCCACACTAAGTCAACTACAGTACTCAACTCCTGTGTATAACAACCCCAGCATTGGTCTTTTACACACACAAGTGCTAAAGTGCATATTTTTAAAGGGGTGGGTGATTGGAGGGTATGGTAGGACTGGGGTAAAGAAGAACAGCACAGAGAGAGAACGAAAGATGGACACCTAGGTAGCAGCAGCAGTGTGTATGTGTGCTCAAGGTACATGATATCAGGTAGCTTTTTTAAGGGCTCCCTCAACATGGGTCTTACAGTTTCATGTTTGGAAAAATAAATAATATAGCTAGTGACCCCCAAAAAAAAAAAAAAAAACCCTGTAATTTACCAGCTTTCTCCCACGTTGTATCTCCTTCTCCAAGTCTTTGGGCAAAAAACCCATAATACCTTCTTCATCGTCTCCATTTTGAGGTAATGCACTAGAGAATAGCTGTAAAGAAAAATACATTCCATTAACAAGTGCCATTATTCCCCCATGCAGTTACTTATCAATAAATACACAGTACAACATAATGTAAATATGACAAAAGTAAAACAACTACAGTAATACCCCGATTTACGCGGTCAATTGAACCCGCGGAGTAGCGCGTAAAACGAGAAATGCGTAAATGGAATAACAGGACATATGGGATTAATTGAAATAGAGACTGGGCCGACTCCTAAACTCCACTTTTTCAGACACAATACCTACGTTGTGGTAAAAATAACATCTTAACTTTATGATGGTACGCACACACAATTAATAATTAAGAGAAATATCAATAATATTAGGTTTTTTAACACTTACATTCGTAGAAAAGATGGCTGGGCACACGGGGATGGGGGGTTGGTTCCGAGGCAGAGGGCAGATTATTGGCACCTCACCTGTATCACTTGTATCAATTGTATCACCACAGAGGCTTGCAGGGCCTCTTTGTCAAACCCCTCAAAGTCCATATCCTCACTATCACTGACTTGGGCCGGCTGTGATGGGTGGCGGGTGAAGAACTCGGTAACATTTTGATGACTGGGCGACCTTGTGCGCACCCTGCCCGTGCCGTTCCCGCGTAAATCAAGCATTTCAATTCTGGCAAGGCACCGCGTAAATAACCAAACACGTAAACCAAAACCGCGTAAATCCAAACTCAACTGTATGTTAACACTAATATAAAGAGACGACAAATAAAATGTTTTCCTGACAATACTGTATCTGTTAGTTAAAAGAAATTATGGTAAAAGTTCATAAAATAACGGTGGTTGATCGAGAAAGATTTGATGTGGACTCACTCATTAACTAGGAGACATGGATTATGAGGCCTAAGATTAGAGGCAAGAGGAGAAGAGAACCTCTTTTTTTTTAAGATCTATTACTACTCCTGTACAGTAGAATGTCGATTTAAAGTGATTCAATTTAAGATTATTGATTTAAAGCGACACCCACAATTAAAGACAATGTTTTAATTTAAGCGAATCTTTTCTATTTTGAGTGAGTCAATCTGGTGCATCATATTTTAAAGTTCGCGCCTAATGTTTCCCTGGGCACGCTACACTGCCCTAAGGGCAAAGCTGTACTGTACATGTACTCAAAATAATGTACTAAATCATTATTAAATTTTTTGTTGAGTGCAAACTATATCATGATTATATTCAAATTAATCACTATCTTATAAGAATTCCAGCAATGTAAATTATATTCTCCCCAGTCAATTCTGTGACATTTTGTAAACAAAATACAAAAACTCAATCTGAAGGACATAAATAAACAAATAAATACTTCACTAGACTTTCGGCCCCAACTGTCAAACGTGTCACTGTCACCCATCCAGGGTTAGGTGGTTATAGGCTTAAAATTTTTATCTTATATATCACAGACTAACGTTAGAATATAATTTGCATTGCTAGAATCCTTGCAAGACAGCGAATAATTTGAACACACGTCATATAACACACGAGATAAAAAATTTTGCCATTTGTAATAAAATTAATTAGATCATGTCAGTTCAGTGACATTTTATAAGAGAAAAACTTAATGTCACTCTCAAGGACAGATATATAAATAAGCATCAGACCTTGGCAGCAACTGTCAAACATATCACCTCCCCCTCTTCCCAGCCAGTAAACAGACCATTTTGCATCCCTTAATTTTATCTGTGTTGATTTATGAGTGTTTCTTTTAACATAATACTACAAAAAACAATGTTTTCTTTATTCTAGGAGATGGGCTGAGGTGCACTCTGGGTAGACTGTCAGTCTTTTTAGTATTTTGTCTCTCTCAAGTACCAAACTAAATTATTCCATTGAAACAACACTTCGATTTAGTGCGAATTCGGTTTAAAGCGACCTCTCTTGGGACATATCTCGTGTTATATCGACGTTCCACTGTATATCAGTTATGATTTGTGCCGTTCCAGATGTTAGGCATAGTGGCATGGTTCCTTCTCAAACAATAACATTAGACAATCAAAATAAAAGTAAAATAATAATTCATAAAAAGGGTGGAGGCATTAATCTTGACTTACCAGACAGTAATAGTGTACAGAAATGTTTTCTTCTGTGTACAGCTTCCCTAGTTCCAGTTCTCGCTCATTTCCTATGCCACAAAAGCAACACAGAACCTTACTCTTGGTACTTGTTGAAGTCATTGTGCACCTAGAAATGAAAAAATAGCCTGGATAGTCTATCCATAAATATAGTAATGATAAGTCTTGTGGATAAGTGAGTGTTGTAGACGGTAGCTGAAGAGTTGAGTCAGGATATGAAGACTTCATCCCTTCAGAGAAGTCATTGTCAGTACAGTTTGATATATAAAGAACAAGCCTTAATACACTGGGGTGACACCGTATAGAAGGGAATAATATTACCATAGCAGAATACTGAGAAACAAAACATTACAAATAATTTAACAATGTTAAGAACATATGAAGCACTCAGCATTGGAAGGTAGTAGGTACAGCCTAGTAGGTAGCTACCAAACAGGGAGGTACTACCGCCTGGGAAGATATTGGAAGCATAATGTGTTGTCTAATGGCAGACCCTGCTGCTATATGGCATCACAAAAATTGTGACCAAGTCCCAGGTTGCTCATCTGACTTTCTGCCTCATTTACGCACAATTGCAGGGTTTCAATTGTTTCTCTTACTTTGACAACACAACATGCATATATTGTTTATCACTACTGATTTTTTCATTTTTAATTTCTTTATGGTTCTTTATTATTGTCATTATTATTATTATTAGTGTTGCTATTATTATTGTCGTCATTATTATTTTATTTCTAATTTTGTATTAACAATTTTATTTACTATGAATTATTATTATTATTTTATTTATAATTTTGTATTTTTATTATAAATTTTATTTAATATGGATTATTATTATTATTATTACATTTTCACCCCCCAGGCCTTGATGTGGGTCAGTGAACTGTGCCCGGGTGGGCTAACCCCCATAAAAAAAAAATAAAATAAAAAAAAACCACCCTGGGCAAAATGCATTTTTTGATGGATATCACTATTTTCACCACTCCTCTACATGTTGGAGTTGGATGTAACCCTCTAGCTAGAATAGAAATATGGTTGAAAGTCCTTAAAAAATAGGGTGTCATTTCACCTCAGGCCGGGAGCTACGTATCTGGCTGTGCGCTCAGTAAATGAAGGTGGCTACATCCCGTTCAGAGAGAGAGAGAGAGAGAGGAGCGGGAGCCAATGACAGCATGCCTCCCGCATACCATACCCGAGAGGCAGCCAATCACAATGGATTTCCTTTGCTACGTCACAGCTCCTCAGCCAATCCGCGTGGCCAGATGCTGCCCCCTTGTTAGTTTTGGTGCGTTGTATAGCAAAAGGCAGTTCAGTGTACTTTCTACTGCTCTTTTTTATAAATGCGCTGTGCAATGTTCTGCCCAATATTCGAGCAAGACTCGAGTGAGGCCAGGCCTTCTGATTTGGGTTCAGGAGCCTATTATTCCTGAACGTGTTTTGTGACGACAGTGCTCCTGTGGACACCCCAGCCATGCTTGGTGATAGTGATTTTGATGGTGAATTTAGTGGCGATTATGGTGATACAAGTGCCACTGGCGATGGTGCAGGTGGCGTGCATGAGAATGTTGGTGATGAGCTACTTGGTGATGTTGGGGAGCCTAGTGTTGTTGGTGGTGGCACTTCACGTGATGCAGATTGCAGGGGTCAGGAGCATACCCCCAAGGCCCTATAGAAAAAAAAGGCAGGATGAGACAGCGTAGGGTTGACGAGTGGGCACAGGAGGTTGCCAAGCGTAAACGTAATTTGATTATGATGAGACCATTAAAGTTATAAGCACGCCTCAGGATTTACTTAACTTCAAGTTGCTACGATCTTCAGGGATAATAAAACGAAGGAAATAAGCAAAGTAAGATTGTAATACTATTATCATTGTTATCGCCGCGGGCTTATTATGCTGATGTCAGTTGCTGACGATCGCTGCCTTGCCCGAACAAACATTGGATCTCTCAGCCTGCTGTTGCCTCGTCAGAAATTGGCGGCTGGGGGGAGCCGTGTTTACAGACAAGAGATCGCCCTTCCGAATGCTGTGCCAGTGTTTAGGGGTACCTGCATGCTGAACAACACTAAGGAAAGATAAAGTACCGTATTTTTTACATTTTCCACAGAACATTTTCAGTGTTAAGTGGTTGTATTTGGGGCCTGGGACGGATTAATCCTATAACGAACGAGGCTGTAGAACCAATTAGATTCGTTAGAGCATATCAGTACTGTTTTTACCAAAGATTATGCAAGTTTTCTCCTCCTTTGTATTCGTTTGTTTATTGTATTTTTTAAATTTTTTTTGGAGGGGGCTTAATAGAGGGGGATGAGTGTAGAGGTGTTTCCTTATTATTACACACTATTATACTTAACAATATTATAAATCTTTGGCTAATAATAGGGATGAAAAGATAAATACTGATAGGCAAATGAGTTTTTTATTTATATATTATTATTTTTTTGGGGTGTGTGTGTGTTATGGGAGGGGGTTATGGGAGGGGGTAAGACGAGCGTTGTTTTTGGTGACCATTAATTTGTCTTACAGCATTAGCCCACAATAATAAGAAAATTTTGCAGAAAAACACAATTATTGTTGGTTTGAAGATCAAACGACTGTACATCACGTGTAGTTATTCTCATTCAACTCGCGATAAAATAATAACTATTCACAGTAATAACTTCCAGTTTTCACAGTTCACTAGGAGAGGGATTGAGCTACACGATAAAAAAAAATGAACCCTCTAGCTTCTAAAACAAAAACGTTATGGTTGTTTGAACTTTGAAAAACTTTTAACGCATTTTTCTCGGCTTTTATAATTTGGCGCTTCACCCCTTTCATAACGCTTACACAACTGTCAATGATACCATTATTGTGTTATTGCTTAATAGGAGTGGATTCATCTAAGTCTCCAAAAGGCAAATTCATAAGAAAAAAAATCCAGTTTTGCCCTTCTCAAAAATATGAGCTTCTGTTGATCCATGAAAGGACATAACACAGTAGGCTTCTGTCCATAAAACTTTCACATGACTTTACCTACAGTACAGTACTCTATTACCACATGCACCCTATTACCACATGCACCCTATTACCAAACTTGAATCACCTCAAGATTAACCCTCAATTTGGGCTGACGATCAAACACCCTAATGCTACCTAGGGTGGTTGGGTTAGCATTACGGTGGTTAATCTTAAATTTAAATACATTGGAGTGGAGAGGGGCCAAAATTTAGGTGATCCCAAATTCTGATACTACACAGTACCACAACCATACAGACACAAAGCAAAGCAAGCAAAGCAGAGTACAGTATATATAACTCTTCTCATGAGAGTTCCAGTCCAGAACTGTGATGGAAATGTTTCTCGTAGCATTGACAGATACTACACTGTAGACTTAACACTCATGAACACCTTGTATGACATTGATGATAAACGTGCAATTCTAACTTCAAGACAATCAGAGATGAAGGCAGGCATTCACCATAACAGAAGATAGGTTAGGTTGTCAAGACCATTCCACAAAAGATCATGGAAATCAACAAATGAGGCTGGAGGTGCTATACAATGTGGTGGTGGGGAAAGGAGCCCTCCACTAACTCCTGGATTTTATTATTTTGAAAAATTTTAAAATTAATTTTTGTCATCAATGTAGATACACTCGGCAACAAATAAAACAATAAAGAATCCGTAACATGGTTCAGAGGAGCTTCCTTTTGATAATTTTGAGGTGCTGATTTCAAATCTGCCAATAAAAATTCTCTGGCACGTAGTTTTCTTCCCTCTTGTTTCCCAGAAACCTTGACTACGGATGTGAAGGATTTCCACGCAGCTGCTCATTTTCATTGTTTGTTTTCAGTCGTCATCACGAAGTAACTTTCTTATCTGTGGGCCAACAAAGATGCCCTCTTTGACTTTAGCATCACAGAGCTGTGGGAATTTTCCCCTCAAGTACACGAACCCATCACTTTGTTTATCCATAGACCTCACAAAATTCTTTATTAGTCCCAACTTGATGTGTAAAGGAGATAGAAGTACATTGTTTGGGTCTACCAAGGGAGTATATTTAACGTTGCTTTTTCCTGGAACAAACTCTTCTGTCTTTGACCAGTCCTTTGTGTTGTTGTGTTTTTCTGTTGCTCTGCTGTCCCTTAAACACAGATAACAGCATTTCATCCCACTTGCTGTTCAGTATTGCTAACCTTGCATTTAATATATCCCTACCAACACAAGTACGTATCTTATATTCCAACACTACATCCAGTATACAGTACAGTACAGTACACATATATCATAAAAATGGGATGTGACTGACATTTTTTATTGCCATATTTGAAATAAGCAGCCCAAAATTAATCAAGTGCAGTATATTTGATCCATGTTACCAAACCCTTGTTAACTAGTGTATAACAGTTAGTAAGCATCAGTGATGAGACCAGGAGTAAAATATTCATTACAGTGTAGCTAAACTGTAAGTGATCACTTCTATCAGCAACTGACTCTTATTGATGACCCTGAGCATTGTGTGCAAAAGATGCAGAAATAAGATATCAACTTCTCAAAATGTTAAGATAACATTATCACCCTCTGCAAGGAAGCAGATGCTGCTACAAGAATGTTAGAAATCCCTGGTGTCAGATTGTTGAGACTTAGGCTCTCGCCAAGTGTGACGCCTTATTCAGGCTTTATCAATAGTGTCTTACCCAATTTCTTCTCCAGATTTAGTTCTGCTTTCCCTCAAATTTTCTACTTGGGGTTGACTATCACCATTCTTGCAACGGCCATATACATTATACCAGATGGTGGACCTCGGTACTCCAAACTTTCTGGATGCGTCTACAAGCAACATCTCCCCTTTTTTCACATATCTGCATGCCTCAATCAAATCCTGAGGTCGATATGGCTTTGATTTGGATCCTGAAATGAATATTCAAACAAATCTGATTATACTTTTACATGAGGAATTTGCCTTAAGTGGTGTTATAGGGGAGGAACAGACTAGGACTGGAGATTCCAAAGTCACAACAGTAAAGTACTTCAATCATTTCTCCCTTTTCTGAACTGGAGAAGCAGTATTTAGTAGTGGTAACTAGAATTTAATTTACAGTACACTGGATTACTCACACAGTAATCTAAAGCTTCAATACTGTACAGTACTTTTACTTTGAAATTAACACAGAGATAAACAGAAAATATTCTTAATTATAATAATTTATGAAATAACCAATTAACCTTAAAATGCTATGTGGTTGTACTGTACCATACAGCCTTTAAAAGTGGTTTCTTCCACCGACACAACACAGTACCCAAAGGAAAGGTTCTTATACAGTGAACACTCACTTTACGCGGTCAATTGAACCCACGGCGGCCAGCGTAAAGTGAACAACATAACATATGGGATTAATTGAAATAGAGACCGGGCCGACCCCCCAAACTCCACTTTTTCAGACACAATACCTACGTTGTAGTAAAAATAACTTCTTAATTTTATGTTGGTATGTACACACAATTAATAATTAAGAGAAATATCAATAATATTAGGTTTTTTAAGACTTACATTAGTAGAAGAGATGGCTGGGCACACGGGGATGGGGGGTTGGTTCCGAGGCAGAGGGCAGATTATTGGCCCTCACCTGTATCACTTGTATCAATTGTGTCACTATCCACCACAGAGGCTAGCAGGGCCTCTTTGTCAAACCCCTCAAAGTCCATATAAGTCCATATCCTCACTATCACTGACTTGGGCCGGCTGTGGTGGGTGGCGGGTGAAGAACTCGGTAATGTTTTGATGACTGGGCGACCTTGTGCGCACCCTGCTCGCGCCGCTCTCCGCGTAAAAGGGTACACACACCGCGGAAAGTGAGCATTCCGTGTTCGGCAGGGTACCGCGTAAACTGGAAACGCGTAAAGTGGGACCGCGTAAAGCGAGGGTTGACTGTACTGTCGAGATGACTGTTGTAAAGCAAAGCCATTAACATACTGTACCGAGAATCTGGAAACAAAATACCCTTGTACCTCCCCACCTTACATGAACATTCCACATGGTAAGGACTACATCTTGAAACTACTTGGAATAAAACAAATATGCATATATCAAGAGTTTCCTTGTTAACTCTGCCAATTTATCCACAATTTCGTTATTTCAGTTTGTGTACTGTATGTTTATTACCAGGAGCTACAGAAAAGGGGATTATGCAAAGATTAGGCACCCCAGTTTATTTCACCTGATGATTAACCATACTACTGAACAAACCAAATCTAACCCCCCAAGGATAGCTTTGCACGTTTAATAATCAGAAGTGATCCCAGAAATGTTTGGTCTTCCCACTATTTCTCCTACAGTTTGACAATTAATTCAGAGGAGCACACGGAGACATTGTTGTACTTAACGCAAGCTTCAAGATGGAAGATATCTTTAGGATCTTAAGAGAAAATTAAGCTGCAATTCCAACTCCCTCTCCCTTCTAATTAAGGAATACTGTACTGTATTTTCTTTTGGATAATTAAAAAATAGTACAGTAGTACAGTATTGTCACAGTGCTGCTGTACCTAATTACCTTTTTTTTTTAGTTTGCCAACTGGATTTAAAAACCACAAATAAAAATAAATACACTGGTGAAAAGTCACACTAAAAATAACAGGAAAAAAGGGTCAAACTTTAAGACACTGTTCCCTAATAACCACCGACTTTACAAATATTCTCTACAGAGGAAAACTTGTTTATTACCTCAAAAATATCCAAAACCTGATGGAGGATTTCAAACTTTTTAAAGAGTTTTGGCCAATTTTCCTAATTTTTGTTTTGAGTAAATACAAGCTGTCACCCACAGACACCATGTTTGCACTTCAAATGTTAACAAGCACTTCCCAGCAATTGACTCAACGTTAACCCTTAAACTACGGCCAACATCCACCGATGCTGAATTAAGCGACTGCGGCCAATGTCAATAGACATGGTCATGTCCCGAGACATTTAAATGTGTGGGCAGCATCCTCAGTAGACCTTTATTAGGCCCGAGGCGCGGAACTTCTATGTCTAGTGGTTCAGGGGTGATAGAGTAACTTGACCATTACTGTGTTAGTATAATGGAACTGCTCATGGAGAAAATCATCCACCAGATAAGCTGTAGGGTAAATAAAGATTTTCTTCCATACTAGAATTTTATATGCTTCAATTGTTTGCCTATAATTTCAAGAGAAATTTACTATTTTCCCTTTGAGAACTGAAAAACCGGTTTCATGTACACTCACGTGCCATAGTTTCTATGTAGTGTACCCTCTTCCCCACTCCTGGGTCGAGGGAAGTCGTAGTCAGGGCTGCAAACCGAACGGTCCCTCTTGTATAGTAATGTTAAGTATAGTGATGGTCAATAAAGTGTTGTGAAGTCACTAAAAAACCTGTATCGTAAGGAAAGCAAAGAGAGACTATGAAATCAAAATAGCAAGAGAATCCAAGGCGAATCCCAAGGGATTTTTCCAGGTATATAGGACAAAGGTCAAGGACAAAGTTGGGCCTTTAAAGTCAGGGAGGGGAGAATTGATAAATGGCAGTGATGAAATAAGCAAAGCATTGAACAGCTACTTCTTATCAGTTTTCACAGAAGAAATTTGCGATGAAATTCCAGAGGTGGAACTGATATTTAAGGGAAAGGAAGAAGAGAAATTAAAGAATATCACTATCAGAAGAGGATGTTCTTAAGAAGATAAATAAACTAAAGAAAACAAAATCCCCAGGGCCGGATGAAATTTTCCCTTGAGTCTTGAAAGAGTGTAGGGAACAGATTAGCGGACCCCTCGTAAACTTATTTACAAAATCATTAGACACCGGAGTTGTGCCAGACTTGTGGAAACAGGCAAATGTAGTACCCATATTAAAAAATGGAGACAGAGCATCAGCGTCAAATTACCGGCCGATCAGTTTGACGTCAGTAGTGAGGAAATTTCTTGAATCAATTATAGCAGATAGCATCCGATCGCATCTAAAGAAAAGCAAATTAATCTACGACTCTCAACATGGGTTTACAAAGGGAAAATCTTGTCTAACAAATCTGCTAATGTTTTTTAGGAAAGTCTTCGAGATAGTAGATAATGACGAAAATTACGATGTTATTTACTTAGACTTTAGCAAAGCATTTGACAGAGTACCGCATCAGAGGCTTCTGAGAAAAATTAAGGCTCATGGTATCGAGGGGAAAGTTTTAAATTGGATAAAATCATGGCTCACCGATAGAACGCAGAGGGTCAGCGAAGATGGTGTTAAATCTGAGTGGGGCCGTGTAACCAGTGGGGTTCCCCAGGGGTCAGTACTAGGCCCACTCTTGTTCATAATCTACATAAACGATCTAGATACTGGGATCAGCAGTGACAAAAAGCAAGTTTGCAGATGACACCAAAATAGGGCGGCAGATTAATTCAGGGCAGGATGCAAATGCATTACAGGAGGATCTAAATAAACTGCAGGGGTGGTCTGAAAAATGGCAAATGAAATTCAACACCAGCAAGTGCAGCGTATTAATATTGGAAGAACAAATACTGTAATGTATACAGCCTTAACAACATCAACCTAGAGAAGTCGACTTGTGAAAGAGACCTAGGGGTACTTGTAAGCCCGGACCTACGGCCTAGAAAACAGTGCGTTAATGTTTGAAATAAGGCAAACAGAGTATTGGGTTTTATATCTAGAAGTGTAAGTAACAAGAGTGCAGAGGTCTTATTGCAACTATATCTTGCTATAGTCAGGCCGCACCTTGATTATGCGGTTCAGTTCTGGTGCCCCTATTATAGAATGGATATAAATTCACTAGAGTCGGTGCAGCGAAGAATGACAAAAATGATTCCTGGACTTAGAAACCTTCCATATCAGGATAGGTTAAAGAAACTTAACTTGCATTCCCTAGAAAGACGAAGAGTGAGGGGAGATATGATAGAAGTATTTAAGTGGATGAAAGGAATCAATAAAGGGGATATAGTTAAAATTCTTATAATATCCGAGCAGGATAGGACTCGGAGCAACGGATTCAAGTTGGATAAGTTTAGGTTTAGGAGGGAGATAGGAAGAAACTGGTTCACAAATAGGGTGGTGGACGAGTGGAACAAGCTTAGCAACTTTGTAGTAAGTGCGGGAACTCTGGAAAGTTCCAAAAGTAGGCTAGATAGATTCATGGATGATAGAGAGTGGTAGTAACTCTCGACAGGAGCTGCCATGTACAGGCCAACCGGCCTATTGCAGACTCCTTATGTTCTTATGTCCATATATTCTCTCAAATTTTACATGAACTGCTATTCGTACAATCCAGCGAAGCTTCGAGCTACCACATTGCACCACTGAACAATGGGTGGGGGGAAATAAGGGGGGAAGGGGGGACGTTCGGTATGAAGGCAAGGCTACGACTTCCATCGAGTCAGGAGTAGGGGCAGAGGGTGCATCAAAACTATGGCACACGAGTGTAGATACACAGAGCACAGCACCAAATTTTTCCATGGCTGCAGTTTAAAGGTTAACTAACTGTACACTTCTCAGCAACCTTTCCATACCTAACCTAACCCACCCTATCCAAAATGAATCTAACCTAACCTAACCCACCCTATTCAAAATGAATCTAACCTAACCTAACCCACCCTATCCAAAATGAATCTAACCTAACCTAACCTAACCCACCCTATCCAAAATGAATCTAACCTAACCCATCCAATCTACCCATAACTAACTAAACCAGACCCAACCTAGGTAAAATTATCGTTTTGGTCATCCACTTATTTAGTAATTGTTCAAAACACATCAAAAACCACCCTAAAAACATAATAACAACCTAGCCTAAACTTAAAACCCATAAAATTCGCTGGATGACCAAAACGATAATACACTAACCTATCCTAACCCTAACCAAAACAGACCTATTCAAACCTACCCTATCCTAAGCAAACCAAGGCAGCCACATACTGAACCCCAGTGATAATGTTCTATTACTTCACAAAACTTATACTCTTTGATGTGAGATGAGAACAAGAATAAAAAAAAATGGCTAAGTATAAGGATAAATACGGCATAACATTATATAATTATAAATGGAGGCAATAATAGAGAAAATAACATAGTAAAAATTAATAACCTTATGGTGGGTCGACCCCTTGATCAACCGTCCACCTTACACTTAACCTTACTTCTAATGGTTACTTACAATATATTAAGTTATATAACAAAATCTATAGCTCAAAATACAACATAAAATACAACAATAACAGGTAACAATACTACAACGCCCCTATAATAGTTATTGAGCCAGATATCCCCAAGCTTAAGCCCCAAGATTCAAATTCATATAAATTACACTACCATATTACCGTATTTAATGTCCTCTTTAACGTTATACCTATTTTCAAACATTACTTTAATATATTCTAGTAATGTCACTTAGTATTAGAGTACATACCTTTAGATTTTCGACGATTCATTATACATTTACCCATGGTAATTCTCTCCCGCCATACACCATCAGCCAGCCCCCCACGTCACACACTTAGTTGCCATACTGACTTTTATCTCTCATTTACATCTATAATTTTAAAACTATACATTATTTCCTATTTTATGGAGTCTAGTTATATAATAAAATATATATATATAATTTAATACAATTATTTATATATATATGTGTTATATTTATACTAAATTTAAGAATTAAATAATAATGATTGTCGTACAACACAATCCTGCCATGTCAGAGAAAGCAGATGTGTTTCAATACCTAAACCAAATACATTAATCGTTTATATATTAATTATGTCTCATGTTAATTGCATCGTTTTTTTTTATTAATGTCATATAAATAAATAAAATTTTCTTAAACATATCGGGTAATCAAAAATAGTGTACACTTGTTTATATTAGCGAAGTATAATACAAAGCCATGAACGCATCACACCCGAACACACGATAACCGCGAGTTTTTAAACTGGTAGAGGTTCACAAGGTCACACAGGGCGGGCTTCACAACACACACTGAGGAAGAGTTCACAATATTCTTAACTTCACCACTGATCGACTCGTTAGCCGTTCCTAACACCCAAACTCACATAACGTTCACAACACTCAACAAGGAGCGAACTCGTAACAATGGTTTTAAATTAGACAAATTTAGATTTAGGCGTGAAATAGGTAAACACTGGTTTGGAAACAGAGTAGTGGATGAATGGAACAAGTTACCAAATATCATCATTAACTCGAATACGCTGGATAGCTTCAAACATACTGTAGGTTGGATGCTTATATGAGCAATAGGGGTTGGGTGTAAACGGGACTGCCCAGTATGAGTCAATAGGCCCGCTGCAGTTTCCTCCATTCTTATATATATATATATATATATATATATATATATATATATATATATATATATATATATATATATATATATATATATATATATATATACTACTTCCTATTGCGGAAGTCTTGAGCCTTTAAATCTATTCATGTGGAATGTATCTACCTTTAGAAAAAGGTTAGTATGAATTCCCCTTTAAAGTGGACCGTTGCTCGCCCCATCCTTTTAAAACTTCGACCTCAGGGCGCATTTAAGAACATAAGAACATAAGAATGGAGGAAACTGCAGTGGGCCTATTGGCCCATACTGGGCAGTCCCGTTTACACCCAACCCCTATTGCTCATATAAGCATCCAACCTATGTTTGAAGCTATCCAGCGTATTCGAGTTAATGATGATATTTGGTAACTTGTTCCATTCATCCACTACTCTGTTTCCAAACCAGTGTTTACCTATTTCACCCCTAAATCTAAATTTGTCTAATTTAAAACCATTGTTACGAGTTCGCTCTGGTTGGATAGTTTGAGTACCTTTGTAATGTCCCCTTTGTTTAGCCCTGCCTTCCACTTATACACCTCTATCAGGTCGCCCCTCACTCTACGTCTCTCGAGGGAGTGCAAATTAAGATGCTTTAACCTGTCTCTATACTCAAGGTTCCTAATGCCCGGGATTAGTCTTGTCATTCTCCTCTGAATTCTTTCCAAGGATTCTATATCCATTCTGTAATATGGTGACCAGAACTGAACTGCGTAATCCAGGTGTGGTCTCACAAGAGCAAGATACAGTTTTAGGATGACCTCGCTAGTCTTGTAACTAACACTCCTTTGTATGAACCCAAGTACTTTATTAGCCTTGTTACGAGCAAAAACACATTGTTTACTTGGCTTAAGGTTCCTACTTATCATTACTCCTAAATCTCTCTCGTAGTCGGATTTCTCTATGGCATCGTTGTTCATCTGGTATCTGGTTTCCCTGTTTACATCTCCTATACTGAGTACTTTACATTTGTCGACGTTGAATTTCATCTGCCATTTTTCAGACCATTCGAAAAATTTGTTTAGATCTTCCTGTAGTTTTGCCGAGTCCTCGTCAGATTTAATAACATGTCCTATTTTAGTGTCATCAGCAAATTTACTTATGTTGCTGTCTATGCCGATATCTATGTCGTTTATGTATATAATAAATAATAATGGTCCAAGTACTGAGCCTTGGGGAACTCCACTTGTGACGTTGCTCCAATGGGACTTAGTGCCGTTAATGCTCACTCGCTGTTTCCTGTCCTGTAACCACGCCCTAATCCATTTAAGGATGTTACCTTTGATGCCATGTGCTTCTACCTTTCTAATTAGTCTTTCGTGGGGGACTCTGTCGAAGGCTTTGCTTAAGTCGAGATATACCACATCATAATTGTGCCCCTCGTCCACCGATTCGAAAACTGATGAAAAGAATGTTAATAGATTAGTTAGACATGAACGCCCGCTTGTGAAGCAATGTTGGGAATGATTGATCAACTTGTGCTTCCCTAGGTGGTTTCGAATAGAGTTTGAAATGATTGATTCTAGTAATTTGCCTACTATTGATGTTAGACTGATTGGGCGGTAGTTAGAGGATAGTGATCTATCCCCCTTCTTGAAAATCGGTATTACATTCGCTATCCTCCAGGATTCTGGTACTACACCTGTTTTTAATGACATGTTAAACAACTTTGCTAAGGGCATACTAAGCTCTTCCTTACATTCCTTTAATACTCTGGCAAATATCTCATCGGGACCAGGTGACTTATTAGGCTCCAGTTTGTCTATTTGCTTACTAACATCGTTACTAGTCACTACTGGCGCAGGTACAGATACATTCAGCAGCCAGTGCATGCCCTTGCCAACAGTGTGTAACATAGACGTCACTAACCGCCCAACAGCTAACGAGCCGCTCGATCTGTGGCGAAGGGGATAAAGTTTTATAATGTATGTATTTAAACACATTACTGTGTATGTTATCGTACTCAATGGGTTATCAATGTACTCAATGGGTTTCCAACGTACTCGGTTGTCATCGTCCTTAAAGGGTTCAGGCATTGTACACGTGTATAGAGTGAGATGTTGCCATGATACACTCCACCATACTCTAAAAAATGCGTACAATGTGATGTTGCCTCAATTTGTACTACATAATATAATCTATCATTTTCTTACGCAATTATCACAACACAAAATAATTGGCCATATTGGTCTAAACACTAAAAAAATCAAGAATAAAAAGACCATCAATTGCATTTGTTATATAACTTATTTATTAAATGTTGAAAGTGGTTATTTGTTCTACAATTATTAAACTGAATTTAGTGTATAAGTTGGCTAGGATTCGTCTCCTTTGTGGTTTACTTGAGTTACTTAGTGTGTATTGACAGATTAAACCGGGTAGCTCTCAGGGTTACCAAGGGTTCCAATAATTAACAAGGATAAAAAAATTATCATTATACCTCATTATTTATTGATAAAATTTAGGTAATATATTCAATCACTTCACTAATATTACGGACAATTTTATTACTCTTATAATAGTTGTAATATTTTATCTATTATATAATTTTATAAGCTATAGATGTACCCTCAAGGACTGCAGATGCGGGTTACTCGTTTGGTCATATTTTGTGGAGAGACAACCTTCAGTATTTTACGTCTTATCTCGTAAATATTAACTGAATTGATTGTTTTTCTCTATTAGATTCAGAAGATTAATACCTGAAGTACCATCACCGAGAAGAAAAAAGTCCTGTAACTGTGGTTAAGTGGAGTTAAATACGTTATAGAGCGAGAGTATTAGAGAGGAGTGGTATGATGTCGTCTGCAGGTTTACGGCGACTCTTCACAGCTGGTCACTCAAGCAGTCAGTTGAGCTGTAGACTCTTTACTGAACACATACGTACATTATCCACCACCGTAAATATGGAACAACGTGTAGTTACCCTCGAGAATATGAATCCCCATGTTAAAAAGATGGAGTACGCAGTTCGTGGACCCTTGGTGATTCGCGCAACTGCTATAGAGAAAGAACTACAGGCGGTAAGTTCAGTTTAATTTACAAAAAAAAAGTTTACCGATAACTGTTTTTACACTCACCGAATGGGAAGTTTAAAACGACTGTCATTAGTATCATAAACTTCAATTAATATGAAAAATACCGTGGTTACTTCTCTATGATGTTGGACAGATTTTATAGCAGCATAGTGTGTATACTGATAAGTTTTGGAACTGTGATATAATACGTTTGTGACAGCTTAACCAGTAACATATTGAACAAGAGGACTAAGTTTATGATGATGAACAACGTTATATATGTTCAGTTGATGTTGCCTGGTTTACACATTCATTCACTTGGGTAATGTTTTATATATCCACTTTCAATGATATGTGGTTTTTAGTTTCCTTGGTTTATTTAAGGGATTATTATTACCAGTACTAGATGGTATTATATATGTGTAACAAGTGTGATTGATGTCACAAACTGATTAGGAGTTAAATAAGAGAATGGATATTGTATATGACTGATGACTTGGGCTGGACAAGGTCAGTGTGTGTGGTAATCTTAGTATTGTTGAAAGTGAGGCCAATATGTGTTAGATCCAGATTTAAAAAACTTATGACAGGAATATTTGTCGTACTTTAAGATCTAAGAATGCATCCAAGTGGTTGACGGAATAAACAAAATGCCATCCACATGAAGCATCAAGATTATACAAACACCACTGAAAGTTCTTAAATCTATTGTTATGAGTAAAGTTCTTCATATAGGATCCTTTGGGAATGTCGCGGAGGTATATATACTGTACATACAGTACTGTGTTTAATCTGACAGTTTTATCATTGAATGAGATAAGATGATAAGTTTAGATAAGGGCAGGAGAATGATTATCGTTTTTTGTGTTGTGTTCTGTTGGGAACTTGGGAGTGAGTGTTCTGCGAGTACTTAATGGCCTGTTGCCAGCTTGGGAAGATATACACCTCACATCTACAATCGTGTCTGTACTGTTGAATGTGGATTCATGTATATGTTCCACTGGCTCAATGATAAAAATTTTAAATACTGTACTGTCTATACCATGCCACCATAGTGAAGAATGGTAGAGGGGTTGTACAGTATTGCAAAGTAGAGGTTGCTTACAGGTCCTTCACCTACACTGTGGAACATGGGAGGTTCATTTTCACACTTTAAACGCCCTAATTATGTCAAGCAGGTGTAATGTAGATAGTGTATGATTACATTACTTGGAAAAAAATATATCAGTACTGTATACATCATTGACCGCTGTATCACCGAATTTTCATGGAGTTAACCTACTCTTTATGACAACCAGAAGACGTCAGTTAACAGGAGAATCGTCAGTTCCTTATATTGTTACTGTATACTCATTACCTAGTACCGCTTTTGGGTGGAGTATTTTACTTAAATATTGAACACCAGTGAAGAAGTATTACACTTCTTTCCCATAAATACAGAATTTCCTATAGTGAAAAAAATACATCCATAAGACAATTGAACAAAGAAGTAAATTAGCATAAGAATGTGCGTGTACACTGTCCAACTGGGCTTATAAGAATTCTCCGAGTGACCCTGAACAAAACAAAGATTAAAAAAACAAACAATGGATATGATGAAGCGATCTGGTTGAGCCCAGATTTTGTCTACTCCTGTATTTCAGTTTCACCAGTTTTCTTCAATCCCTAATAATCTTCTTTCACCTCTTAACTCGTAACTCCAATGCCATCAACTAGGCTGGAGTATTTATGCAGACCAACACTCACTCGCACTGACGACATAATAATTAATTGTAATAAGTTTCTGATTCTATATTGTATTATTGCATGAGGACTCTTTCGGTATATGCTGGCATGCCTAAAAGATACAGTGGTTTTAACATTTGATGCAGTCAGTAGCTGCCGCATTATGTTGATAACACTGTCCACGTCCAGTGTAGAGCATTCGGATTGCTTTGCTTCTTATCGCATTTGATAGTTATTTGTTTTATATGTTTCCAAGAGAACACCAGTGAAATGATTTCATTAGTATGCAGGTACTGATTGAGAAATGACACATGATACTGACGACGTGCGGTTTTTTTCTCTCGTCAGCTGACAGTGGTGTCACATGCAGTATGACATATACCAAGGTGTGCTTAAATCCTGCTTGTATAATTGTATTGTTTATCCTCACATATGTTCCACCAATACATTCGAATATGTATACTCCTATACTTTATGATAAAACTTTTATACGTGTTAATTCCCCCAAATCTACTCAGATAGTCATATATACCATACACAGATGAACATGGATACCGTTCGTATTCCAGTCAAATTTATGCTCAGAAATGATCAATCGCGTGTAGTATGATGTATTGCAAACACATACGACACGTGATAGATACGAGTGACTGGTGTTGGTGTGAGGCGAGTGACTGGTATTAACTGGTGTTGGTGGCGTGAGGCGAGTGACTGCAGACTTCTCGAATTACAACTCAACATGCGATGCAGTTGGAGTCGTTGGGCCCAAAAAAATAAACCCACTTGATAAGCAATAATGAGATCGCCTGAAGATTCACTCTCAGTTTATTTCACCTGAATCTTAATCACCCAAATGTCACCTGGGGGAGGGGGGATAGGTTAGGTTACATCACATCTGTTTATATAGTTAGCCTAGGGGTGATTTTTATCTACAGGTGAAATAAGTTATACTATATTTGATGATTAAATTAATAACTTTAGAATTTGAAATGTAATAATTCACCTTTAATAGTAGATGTATACTGTAAAGAGCACTAATAACATTGAGTGCCATTAATACAAGGGAAATCGGTATTGTAATTCACCTTCATCTTTGCACTTCGGGGTTGACTAAATAATTGGTTCAGTAAAGGCTGGTGAAGTGGAGAAGAATAAATTACGATTTTTATTGTGCGTATGATAGCAAAAATTTATTCCCGTGACCTGCAAAGTGAACAATTCATAACCTACCACCCGCGATATAAATACAGTAATACTTAACATACAACGCGAACTTATCAAAAGAATTAATGTTAATAGCTTAATTTTGGTAACTATATTAAAATCGTACCGTATGTATTTTTTATTTATATACACGACCCCAGGAAGATTGTGATCTGCGTATGGATGATTCTATTGTTTGTGGGGAGAGGTGGAAGGAGCATAGTGTGAAGGTCGATGCTTGTTGTGACAGACTCGAGGGCACTTTAACCATACATAATAGGCTAAAAGTGACCAGGAGTTAATGTTATGGATAGATACGTATTCAGTATAATCGTCCATAGACGTGCGGATATCCAATGTAAAGAGACAGTACAGGAAATACAAACAACACTGAACATAAAAGATTCAGGTGCCACTGTAGCGTGCGGTCTACCTGAGATATCTACACTGTAGCGTGCGGTCTACCTGGGATATCTACACTGTAGCAGGCTGCAATTCAGTATTGATATATAGTATTATTTGTAGCGGTTTACCTATATCTGTGTAGCGTGCGGTTTACCTGGGATATCTACACTGTAGCGTGCGGTTTACCTGATAATATCTACACTGTAGCGTGCGGTCTACCTGAGATATCTACACTGTAGCGTGCGGTCTACCTGGGATATCTACACTGCAGGCTGCAATTCAGTATTGATATATAGTATTATTTATTATATACTGTAGTATGGTTTTATGATAAAAAAAAACAAAATGATAAATATTTTTTTAATGATCCTGCTGAGCGACAGAATTCCTCACTTGGGTCCACCTCCTCCCCTAGATTCTCCGATATCCGAATGCCGTTGTTGAGGTTCACATATTAGCATGTGTTGAACCTCAGCTGTAATATGAAATTTAATTACTCCGGACAAGGCAACTCGGAATTAATTATCTTTTTATTGATTAAAAGATGTCTGCAAAATGTATTGAATTCCACACAACACGCCATTCATCCACCCACGTATTGTTCTACCGATTTATACCCAGGAAACCTATGTACTAGGCAATATCTATGTAGACTTTGGAGGGAGCCCACTTAGTTCCGGTTGTCACAATGTTGAACTGAGAACATTGTACCTTGAGTCAAATATTAGGTTGATTCAGATTCATATTCCCTTTAAGCAGCGCAAAGGATGTTCTGAGAATGGTTCAGTTTTAAATGTCAAACTTAAACCAATATACTGTATGTGCGCGTGTGTTAATAAAACGGATATTTGTGCTAAAAGTTAATGTATTCGTTATTTGAATTGATATTGTCTTTTGAGATGGGTACATATTTTTGTATTAAAGTAGAGCAAATGTGTGGCGGCTGTAAAGAGAGGTAATACGCGTAGTGAAGCTATTAATGGGTAATTGACTTTTGATATTGCTCTTGATAAGTGACACGGTACAGTGGGAAGGGTAGGTTGTTGTGAAAGAACGATATAAATATGGTAAATGTAGCGGACAAGTTATTGAAATAATCTTGTGGGGGTAACGGGAGAAGATCTATGTACATATGTTTGAGCAGTTTGTTAAGATGATCATGAACTGTGTTTCCGACAGTTATTGTTATTCTGGTATTCATTCTGGTTATAATGCTATGACTACTGTAGGTGCGTAAACGGCCATTCTCTCCACAGGTGTCCTTAAAGCAGAACATATACGCTTGCCTTGTGTGGCCTTGAGCTGAGACGCCGCTGCTGTCACTGGGTGTATGACTAATTTTATATGACAATAAAACATCTATGTAATGCTCCGTTTTTTCCCGTTTGTAAGTGAACTGACTTCTCCCATCTTAAAACCTTTTTTTTTTAACGGGGAATAGTCCACCCGGGCACGTCCTAGGCCCCCTATGGGCGGAAAAATAAGAGTGCAGTGTGATGGTCTACCTCCCGGGTTTACAGAACTGTATATTTGTTTTATGAGGAGGTACAGTAGTAGTAAATTGTGTCATACGTCCGCCAGTACTGTGTAACTCCAGCAGGATGGGAGAGTACAAGAGGAAGTCTCAATTGTACCCTACCAAAATATCGTACAGCAAAGTGCTCGGGTAGTCATACATTAATCTGGGCTGGTGTACGACGATGACTAAAATGCATTAATAATATAATAATGGTGATGATGGCGGCTTTACTAGAGAATGTTAAGATCTTTGTGACGGTTACAATTCTTGGTAAGAGTTGTCGATTAGTTCAGGGAAGTGTATTGACGTCTTTAGGAATTTTTGTGACATTCCAGAATTTTTGAGGGGTTAGGTAGTGTGTGTGTGCGTGTGTGTGTACGTGTGTGTACGTTTGTGAACATGATATGGCTGTTGTTATGTTTTTAGTTTATGTACGATATAATTATGTGTTCAGGGTTGAGAAGAGACTTGCCTTTTTTAAATATATGTTAACATTTACTACATTGTCTGATACAAATTTAAGTTCCGTTCATTACTTCGTGGTTTTGGATGCTTCATGTGGCTGGAGGTCTTGAAGCATCGCCACACTACGGTCTTAGCTAGTCCCTATAATACATGAACAGGTCTTTGATGAAATGGATCCGATAATATTCCTTCTGGCATGTCATAGGATAAACTAAAGAACCTCATTATTATCACCATCATCAATATGTATCATCACTCACAATTACCATTATTAAATCATCAATATTTCACCAAGCGCGCGCGCACACACACACACACACACACACACACACACACACATACACACACACATTCACACACACACACACACACACATTCACACACACACACACACAGGCCAATTGTATGGTTGATTATACACAGTACATTATATACTCAAGTGGTAAAGTCTGGTATATAAACACTCGACTTATTGGAGGGCCTCAGCTTGGACGTGTGCCAGCCAGGGCCAACTTAGCGTACAGGTGTTAAAAAGGCCTGGCGGTTGTGGTTTCTCGGGCCAGATACAGCTACCCTCAGAAGCATGAAGTTTGTAAAGGAGAATTTGTGCTATTTATACAAGGTGTTTTTGTGTACGCTTGGTGATTGTCTGATGAATTTGGTGTGTGTGTGTGTGTGTGTGTGTGTGTGTGTGTGTGTGTGTGTGTGTGTGTGTGTGTGTGTGTGTGTGTGTGTGTGTGGTTGTTGTATGGTTGATTTTCTGTCATATTTCAGTGACTAGGTTGAGTACTGCTATTCCTACTATTACTATTATTTTGTTACTGCTACTTCTCCATGGCATATAGTCAATGTTAACGACTCGTAAATATATACTGTACTTGTAGTAGGCTAAATTGTCAAGGCATAACACGAACACTGAACAGGGGGAGAACTGAGTGAAACGTAACCTAACGAACCTATTTATAACGTGTGTGTGTGTGTGTGTTAAGGGGATGTCCTCGTCACATCACAACACAAGATGTTCTAAAGATCCGTCAACATCATCATAACGTGACCACAAGGCATAGAACATCCCCTCCTACCTAACATCTTCCCCCTCACCCTTTCCTTATTACCTGACTGACCAGACATTATCAGTCGTGAGGTCTGATCAACCAACCCTGTACACTATAAGGCTCATGTATGATGCTCACTTAAGGTCAACCAGCGTCATGCAGGATTACTTTTGGGCTCATGATATGGGTCAGTGGTTAAGATCAAACCTTAAGTCTCTCTCTCTCTCTCTCTCTCTCTCTCTCTCTCTCTCTCTCTCTCTCTCTCTCATATACGTACCGGCATATCCCTGTTCTTGTTTTATTTAATTTCTTCTCTATTTCATCTTCTTTCCTGCCATCCTTTATCATTATCACCCTCCTCCTTATCCCTCATCTTCATCATTATTAACCTTCACTTCCTCATTATCATCATTATTATTCTCCCCGTTTCATCCTCTTCGTCATTATCAGTCGTCTTCCTTTTCCTCCTGAGTAATGGTGTCTCCTCTTCCTCCTCCTCCTGAGTAATGGGGTCTCCTCTTCCTCCTCCTCCTCCTGAGTAATGGTGTCTCCTTTTCCTCTTTCCTCTCCTCCTGAGTAATGGGGTCTCCTCTTCCTCCCTCTCCTCCTCCTGAGTAATGGCGTCTCTTCCTCCTCCTCCCGGCACCACATATAGCGAGTTTTCCCTCCACAGGACGAGGATGCCACCTCGGCTTCTGTTGATCCAGGCACCAGTTGTTGCTGTGCTAGTCAGCTGATAAATACCCGATCACCTGTTGTTTATCCGGTGAGCTGCTGCTGTTTACCCGGTCAGCTGATGGTGTCCTGGTCAGCTGTTGTTATTGTTGTTGTCCTGGTCGCCTGTTGTTGACCTGGTCAGCTGATGTTGTCCTGGTCAGCTGCTCATGTCCTGGTCAGCTGTTGTTTACACGGTCAGCTGATGTTGTTTACCTGGTCAGCTGTTGTCACATCAGGTTAATTACGGTTTAGGTGAGGTTAAGGGACTTGAAGCTGAGGATAGGCTGGAATGTAGACTTAAGTTAAGGTAGATAATGGATAAGTTATGATAAAGTTTAGTTAATATCGGTGAAGTTTGTTCCAGTGAGGTCAGGTGAGATGAACGCTTTGTGAGGTAAGGTTATGTTTAGGGTCAGGTGATGGTGGTAGTGGTGGTTGGGGTAGATGGTGGTAGTGGTGGTTGGGGTAGATGGTGGTAGTGGTTAGGGAGGAATATTGATGGTCGTAATAGGACTGATGGTGGTGTTTGTGGAGATAGTGGTGGTGGTAGTGGAGGAGATAGTGGTGGTGGAGGTAGTGGTGGTGGAGGTAGTGGTGGAGATAGTGGTGGTGGTGATGGTAGTAGTCACAAAGGATGATCACAAGAGGTGAGTTATGTGTCGTCATTAAGCACCCTTCACACACCCACCTCACGACCCTGACCTTCACCTTACCTCACCCCACCTCCCCTCACCTGCCACCTCCCCTCAACTCTCCTCACCCACCTTCACCGCCCACCTCTCTGGGATTTACACTTGACCCTGAGTGTAAGACAAAGATGACTTGCCTTCACATTTATCACAAACATATTCCACACTTCCACCACCACTTTTCCCAGCACGCCACCACCTGTTACCACAATTTCCCACTACACCCACGCCACCTGCCACTGTCAGCCTCGCCTGTCACTAGGCTCGCTCCTGTGCCAAGTATGTGTGTTTACTTATTACTTACTACCCTAGAGACCCGCCGGCCCCTACACAACCCGCTATAAAGATGGTTGTTTAGTCATCAGTCAGACATTGAGAAACAGTATAACGGGTACAGTGATTACCACAAGATAATAATAGCGCCTCCATATGTTAAACCTGTGCTTTATTTATTGAAGGGCGGTGCTGACTAGGTTAATTCCATATGACTACAGGGTGTTATTGTACAAACTAGTCCCCTGTACAAATATTAAGATATAACTTTGCTGCTTTAGTTAGAGCGATGATGTTATGGGACAGCACGCACGGCGGCCAGAGTTACGGAAAAACAACATACTTCTCCGCCAGCCAAGAACACTGGAGCGTTTTACCCTGCCGCCACAAAACAGTGTGGACTTACCCTATGACCCCAAGGTTCACTCAACTCGGGATTACTGGACCTCTGTGGTATAGAGCAGTAACCAGACACCCAAGTCTTTTATGGCGGGAATGGAACTGCTCGACCGCAAGTATGACGAGGAAAAAGGTGAAAACGAGAAACACCAAAACGACCAGCCAACGATCCCATTCTTGGGTCACCGGCTATACACCAATCACATAGTATGGATCGTAAGTAGATGAGAGAGAGAGAGAGCAAACCCTACAACTTTTACCACCTTGTAACTGCCGTGTATTTGTCGTGTACTTCAGTAAACTAATCTTCTTAACTTTGTTCTGTCCACAGGGAGGGAGGAAGCCGTTCAAGACAGTAACAAAGGCGAACATCGGCGATGCTCACGCCATGGGTCAGAAGCCCATCACTTTTCTCAGACAGGTGAGTGTGGTAACCGTACCTGCTGAAACCCTCGTCATGTTGGGTAATAGAATAACAAGGTCAAGGTTGAGTTAGGTTATTTGGGTGAGGCGATTGGTAAATTTTAGTGTTAAGGTAGTTTTGGGGTAATGTTAGGTTAAATTTGGTTAGGTTAGAAAAGGGTAGGACAGTTTTGTTAGGTTAAGCTAGATTATGGTTAAGATAGGGTAGACTTTAATGGGTTAGATAAGGTTAGGAAATATAAGTTACGTGAATTTGGGTTAATTTACAGGTAAGGTGAAGTTACATTTGGTTAGGTTAGGGTTAGGTAAGGTTAGGTAAATTGTGGGTTAGTTATACAGTATAGGTTAGGGTAGATTTGGTTAGTTTAGACACGTGGTTGGAGACTAAAGCGAACACATCACAGGACGGAAACGACCTACATTCCCACCAGACTGTAGAATATCTAGACCACGGGAAAAATATATGAACGTGAGCAACAGGTTACACAAGATCTCCGTGTGCCTGGCTAGCTGAATATACATTAGGTTGCTGAGGAAATAATAATAATAATAATACAATTGAATATAATGTGTACAAAAATCAAGAGTGCCTCATTCATGGACTAGGCTGCAGTGATTTTAATTAAACGTGTGCAGAATGCCAATATAATGAGGAAACATTAAATTGTGTTAGAGCAACATGTCTCTTAGGTAGGTAGAGGGGCTGGAGAGTTGAAACAAGACCGAAAATTATATTGCGAATGATACCAAGATAATTCAGATCAAAATTTAAAGCACTAGAATATTTGTAATAAAGTTGTGACCTGAGGATTAATCACCCTAACAGAACCTTACCTATCCGAATAAAAAATCCCCCAGGTAACGCTAAAGTGGTTAATCGTAAGTTGAAGTAAGCTGAGGTGTCTTAAACTTCACACAAATCCGCCCGGAGTTGCTTTGCAGTCAGCCAACACTCGGCCATTGCATACGGTTATCACCTCTGGCCTCAATTCATGGCGTGACCCTGCACTTTCATTTTTATTCTAAGTATGGTCTGTTGCTTGGGTTCGGTCTAGCGTTATCCTAATAAAATATTAAAATTGGCTTACCCGTAGTGAAGGGGTTAAACCAATCAATTATATGACCCACAAATATAGTAGATTGCAGATGTTGTAAAGTGTTCAGAAAAAAATGGCTGCAAATATAGTGTAGTTTTCGCGTCTTTTAAGTGGTGAGAAGCGACCGTCTTCTTCTTACACTGCATCTGTAAATAAATTCTTCAAAAATATCATGTTTCTTATTTTACAAAAACTTTAAGTCAGGAAGGCCGGTTTCATGTAAAAAAAAAAGTGAGTATCCCCGTTATAAACACATTTTAAGGTTTCTCGCACCATTTTATAAATATGCACGCCAATTGTATTCAGGTATCGAAAGTGTACTGTCATATCAGTGTTTTGGGATGAGATACAATACATCACATTTGCTATAGGCACGACTTGTGAATAATTAGGTTGGTGAGTAATCGACACGCTGGGAGTGGGAGTGTGTGGCTACAGTTGGCGAACACTGTCAGAAAGCACATCTAATAAGATACGTTATCCAATGAACATTAGAATTAGTTCATAATTAGGGTGTTGTAGTTAATTTAAAATTATTCGTGAGTTATGTATTTGGTAAGTTAAATGTACTCTGTGAAAACGAGTTAGTGACACGTGGCAGTTACTAGGGGAAGGCTCGGCGGGTGTGGTCTCGTGAGTACAGATGGCAGTTGGTGCATCTCGTGACTTCACTGCTAACAATCGTCCTCTGTTCTCATTAACTATGCCTTTAAAACCATCGTCTGATAATCTAAATAGAATAGACGGGTAAGAATCTTATTTATCAAGGAAAATAATTTGGTCTAGATTTAGATACGTTGGATATAAATGGTGGAAATCTGCTTGAATATTTGACAAAAAAAATTAGACTAGTGTGTCATGTGTTGGCGGCAGGATGCACCACACATCACCTGGTTGGCTCACGTGTAATCTACACATATTCTTGGTTCAGCCGGTTCATAGAGGCACCTTGGAGTATTCTTGGAAGATAAACCCTCTGTCGTGTCCATTATTTTCTCGGTTGAAGTATTCATTCGCAAGTTAGCCTTTCTTCATGTTGCTTTAGTGTGATATTTTTTATGACGCTTGTATTCGACTTGTAGTTTATGTTCTTTATGGCTGAACAGTTATATTTTGTTTTATTGTGTTTATGGTTGAATAACACTTGTGGCCTACGTGAGGTGGAGCACGCGCATCCCCCCTGCACTGTGTTGGCAACTCTCTCTGCTGGTTGACGCTATGGGACACTAACCAAATGACTTTCGTATTTTTAGCCGCACGGCATCAAGGTGAAGACTTTCTGTACATTGACCACTATACCAGAACTATAACGAACTTGAGTTATTATGACGCCTACACCTATTGAGAGAGATTCTTCAGGTTGCAACACCTGGGGTGACAATTCTTCAGGTGATCCATTATTATTATTATTGTGGGTTGGGCTTGGTTAGGTTAGGTTTGGTAATTAAGATTGAACTCATCATTGCGTATTTTGTATATTTTTCTTTAAACTTTTCACAATAAAGATGCATAACACAAAGGAATACATTTGTTATCCTAATTATACAAATTATATTCACTGTGGGTTGGGGTAATGATTCTTCAGGTGGAGCAGGCTGGGGTGACAATTCTTCAGGTGGGTTATCCTGGGGGTGACGATTCTTCAGGTGATCCCTTTTGTATTTACTAAATCGAATTAAGGTACAGCAGCATATTATGAGAATTCTCTAGGTGTGTTGCTAAAAGTGGTTTGACTCTAATAAAGGCGGTGTTAACCTTGAATTTCTCTTGTAATTGGAGTGATGCGAGATGATTGTACTCAAGAGGGGTGGGTGTGTGTGTGTGTGTGTGCAAGTACTTCTGTTTTGATTGAGTAATGGCCTCCCCTTTCTCTCTCCCTCTCATGGCGCCACTTCATGACGCAATGATTACACTCGGTGATTGTTTCCTATCGTGATGGTGTTGAGGCTTACGTGTGGGGAAGGTGTTGCTGCTGCCTCCCTGGAGCCATATATAATGTTTTCAGCGTGTGGATGTACTGTGTAAGTTGAGGATATGAACATTTGTGGGTATTTCTACTTCGTGTCTTAGCACTTTAATGTCATTTTCTACATTGGTCTCGCACCCACGAATAACTGATAAAGAGCTCTCTCACTCAGACGCTGCAAACTGAAACATTTACAATTTAACCTATGACGTCACTAGGGACCAGCTTTACGTATCTCCTACCGATTGACAGACTATTTGTGTGTGTGTGTGAACCACTTGAGGTGTTATAGTAAGATGGAGGAAGTAGTGGTGTGGTGTGGTCATGTTACGTCTGTAGGATATGTGTGAACCAGACACATTCACAGTGTTACCACGTCACTGGCACCTTCACAAACCATGTAGGACAAATGCCAGTCGTGGACACTAATCGATGGTTAAGATCGCAGGTGATGGTGTGGCAGCGGTGGTTGTGGAGGTGGAGGAACGGATCGACGCAGTGTTCCCCCCCCCCCGACACATACACACCTCTGCATGCCAATCGACTACTCAACAACGCTTCCACAATCACCAATCGATACCTGCTTAGAATCAGCCAGTTTAGATTCTGATGTGATTTATACCTGACCTGGGTTACTCGTTATCTCTGTACCGAGCGTAAATTTGAGACATAATTCCCTAATACCTGAAGAATATTATCTCTTCTCCAGATAATATCATCTGATGATTAAAACACACTAACGATGCCTGATTGGGTAAAGTAACGTTAGATTAAATTAGGTTCGGTTAGCGTTAGGTTAGGTTCGGTTCGGTTATTTCTTATCAGCAATTACAACTTTTATCTAATCAATACGGACTCACTGATTAACACACATAGACTTAACACAGACCGATTGACTCACAGGGTAATTACTGCACCAACATACACTCAGAAACGTAAACAATGGCCTCGTCAAGAGTTGGGGAGAGTGGGTGTTGGGGAGAGTGGGTGTTGTGGAGAGTGGGTGTTGGGGAGAGTGGGTGTTGTGGAGAGTGATTGTGTTGTTGGGAGAGTAAGTTAGGTTTTAATGGGACAGTATATAACTACCTTGGCGACAACAGGCCTTATGACCTTGTTCACTGCCAAGAATATGAACGTGATGGTGTGGGGGTGGTGGGGAATTACTGCACCAACATACAGGGAGGTGTGGGGGTGGCCTGGGGAGGTGTGGGTCTGGTGGGTATAACAAAGGTTTTGTGTCTACTTTACTCAGTCGGGGTGGTACTGTAGTTACTAAAGGGGGTCACATTTTGGTCTCATCCCTCTGTTACTGGGGGAACTTTTTGTTTTAGATTAATGTATTAGTTAGGAAGGGTAGTGGAAAGAGATATTTTCCATTTAAGTTTATTCAGCAAAGACGTGACATGAGGTCGCCTGTGTTCATCCTAGTTTCTAACTACCTGTAGATACCGTGAGGGGAAAATGGAGCTCACTATACACCCGCAAAAACTAGAGAGAAAACATTAGGTACACATCACCGATCCTTCAGTCTCGACGGTCGCTGGGCCACACACAGGAACCTCACACCCACACTTCAATAGCCAAACTGTCTGACCTTACACTCCTATCCTGTTGTCGAGGACTTTTTCAGTCTCCAATCGGGGAACTTTTTGTTTTAGATTAATGTATTAGTTAGGAAGGGTAGTGGAAAGAGATATTTTCCATTTAAGTTTCATTCAGCAAAGACGTGACCATGAGGTCGCATGTTACTTGACTTTGAGAGAAAACTGATATCTTCAACTTGCAGGTGAACCTCACACCATCTGGTCTGAGCAGGTCTCCAATCAGAATAGTTTTTTTCCAAGGGTACTTATGTTCTGTTACCCTGATTGGTTGGCACACTGTATGGGCGGGGCCATCTCCCTGACACCCCATATAGGTTTACATGTTATTCTT